ACATGCGTACATATATATACAGAGGCTCTTTGGAACAATTGGCATAGCGTTTGTCCGATAACGTAACTGTCCTGGTTTCAATTCTCGGTAGTAGATGCGAACTGCTGATGAGGCCGAAATATAGGACGAAACGGCCGTCCAGTGTTTTCTGCATTCTGTTGAGGTTTCTTCTCAAATCCTCTTAATTTCTATCACTTATATATATATATAAAATTATTTTTTATAAAAAAAATTATAACATAAATATGTTATAAAATCACTTCAAAAATAGCCATTTTGTTTCAACACCCTCGGTGTCTTATCAAGTGATGATGTTGAATATAAAATAAATGGTTTTAAAAGTTTTAAATTAATTAACGATCTTTCGCTAGGGGAAAACATTGTTACAAAAGCTAAAATGACCAATCAAAACCCAAGTATAGGAAGATTTAAAAGCTTGACAACGAAATCGTGTTATAATAGCTATTCAGATCTTTAAAATACGGGTAATACTAAAAAAGAATTTATTCTAACCAATAATTATTAAATTATATGATAAAATTTGATATTAAAATTAAAAACTGCCAATTTTAAAATCCAAATTTAATCACTATTAAGTTTAAAAGCTATAGAATTACTGAGGAGAAAAGAAAAAAATACATGTTATTCAATTTATTTCATCGTTGAAATTACGTTAGAATAGACGCTACAATATCCGGTCATCCGACAATACATGTATATATATTTTAATGCCAAGTGTGTGAATGGGGTCTTAAACTCACGCGCAAAACAACACAAACACAATAAGATTATAATACATAAGCACCCAGACATATTTAGACATATATACACACAAAGAAGCGACGAGACAGGAACATCTCCACGGCACTTTATGAAAAAAAAAAAAAGGAAACGGGGAAACCAACACCTACCTACACACACAATTAAAAGTTAATGCACTTTCCATACACATAGACACCGATAAATACATGTACACACATCCACAGACATTGACCTTGACAATCAGATACCTTGTTTTTAAATCTAATAATTTCAAATTTTTCGTTAAGACATAGGTAACATGGGGAATATAGGGAGTTACATGTCCGGTCTTTCTTAATCAATGTCCATTTAACCGTAGGTGTTTTGTTCTTTTCTTTTAGATTCCAAAAGTAGTTGGATAATAAAATCATATACCTATATTCACTGTGATTAAAAGATTGCATATGCCCCCGCCAGCGTTACTTGAATGTTTTCATGGTGCTAACAATGTAATTTTTTTTTTATATTTGGATTTTCAATTGTTGAAATTGTACTACGATAGACTACAGAACTAATCCGACAGTCATTTTGTAGTTGACAATTATTAGGATTCCTACAATTACATAAGTTGTTATTTGTGTTATTATATTTAGTATTGCAGTTAGTAACCTGTTGAGTAGTCAAGCCTTTTGAATCCCTATACTTGTTAAAGACTATGTTGTTATGTTTTTTTTAATTATTTTCTCCAGGTTATCAGCACAACTATAACTTAATTTAAGGGTATTAGGATTAAATATTTTACTAAGTGGGTTAGTTTTAGGGTTGGGGAAATGTTTCTTGATGAGGTTTAGAAATATACGTCCTAATTTAGTTTTAACCATTATATTGAAAGGAGGAGTGAACCAGATGATCTTTTTAGATCTTCTTTTCTTATTATGGTTGCAATTAACAGGGTTTTTATACTGAATAGTTGTATCTTTGTATCCCCTATTTTTGAGTGCAGAATCGTAAAAATCACGATATTTATTAAAAGAATCTTGAGTTTGTGCTAATTCTAAATCCAATGGAAGAGGTTATGTGTTTGATAACTGAAGGAGGATGAATGGAATTTGGATGCACGTATATTAATTCCAACCCAATATACGTGCATCCAAATTCCAATCATCTATGTGTATGGAAAGTTCATTCTCTTTTAATTGTGTGTGTGTAGTTGTTGGTTTTCCCGTTTTCTTTTTTTGTGTGGCTCTCTAGGTTTAACTATATATATATATATATATATATATATATATATATATATATATATATATATTAGACATTTAGTATGAGTATACCTGTATTTAAAATATATGCTTCTATTTTTACTTTAACTTTAAACTGTGTGTATTACGTCTACCGGACTGCGTTACCAAGGAATCTAAATAAAATAGAAAAAAATATTTCCCAAATACGCAGATTGAAGTAATCCACTCGGTTGAAAATAAAAATAAAAATAGCGAGTTTATTTCAAATACGAGTTTCAACTATAATAATATTTGGAACATATATATATATATATATGTGTGTGTGTGTGTGTGTGTGTGTGTGTGTGTGTGTGTGTGTGTGTGTGTATCTGTGTGTTTGTGTTTGTGTAACTATGCTCTCGTTCGCCAAATGAGCATTATGGGAAAAGGGAATTTTTAACGGCTGCTATAAATGCAACGTTCTTCGTAAGAATTGAGCGCTATGTCGGCCGATATGGCGTTTATATTCCACGTATATAATGTGTTACAAATTTCCATCATCCGCCGTGTTTTGATCTGGGCCTGAATCACTCGGATGGCTAGCCACACTGATGTCCTGTTGTTCAGCGAAACTAGCGGTCTGTGGATTATATATATATATATATATATATATGGAGAGAGAGAGAGATAGAGAGAGAGAATAAAAAATTCAGAGCAGATAACATTAGAAAGATTTTAGCGTTCCATCAAAGTAATTGCATACAACGTTTAAAAATGCACTATCCAGACGGGCTCAATCACAAATTTAACAATATTGATAGTATTAATATATATCCCCAAGAAATGACGGACAGTCAAATTTCATAAGAAATATAAGCGGTGGGTGTTGAGAGGTAATTTAACCGAATGCCCAACCAGTTATATCTTTGGAGAGTTCCTACATATTTTTCGTTGATAAATAAGATGCATCTTTAAGAAACTAGTAAATAATTTAAACATATATGTTGAAGCTTGAATAAGCATGGAATAATAATAATACAACACAAAATGTACGTAACAAAATGTATTGAAACAATGAAAAAAGGTACACAATATTTACAGGTAGTTTTGGTATATTCTTGGGAAGACTGTTCCTGCAGAATGGGTTGACTAAGTCGCAGTCGGGCAGAGTCTCTGGATTCGATCTCTTAATCTTCCCTCGTCTTCCGGTACCAACCCATATTTATATGGTCGGTACTCCACTTATGTAAATTAGGTGTATCATACACAACAATATAGAATTAGTTGGTAAATAATATGCAACCGTTAAATAAATATCATCCATATAAGATGTTAATAATATCAACCAATCAATGTAAAATGTCAAAAGTACTAACTAAATATCAATACATCTGTTAATAATACTACCAAGATATTAATTCAGAACTAAATTAAACCTAAATGAATTATAAAATAGAAAGATAAGTCATATATGGTGCAACACAGATCAACTAAAACCTAAAACATTGTCAAATACCGAAGACTAACTGAATTGTAAGGTAAAAGATAAACTGTGCTTACAATTTACGGTTAATTCGGATCTTTAACTTTATAAGGATTTTCTATCAAAGAACCTTATAATTTCCTACTGTTCATGTAAACACAGAAAACAGGGTTCATATAAGGATCTACTTTCCCTTGCCATTATAAAATTTTTCTATTTCACCTTAGAAATTTTATTATCATCTTTTAAACTCCAAACATATTTAGAAAGTCATGTATTATTACAATAAGTATTATTTGCGAAGGACAAGATATGTTGATACCACCTTGTCTTAAAAGAATTCTTAGTACTACCAATATAGAATTTTTCAACCGTCAGATTCTCTGTTGTAGAGATAGTACTTAAGTAAACAAATATTTACTTAAACATTTGTATGGAAATGGGCATTGGTCTGAATACCTACAATTATATTGTTCAGTATCATTAATAATATTTATCTTGGAGCGCGCATTATGATCCAGATTATTAAATTGCTTTAAAATTTTATTATGGCGTAACTTTATAATCTTCTCAAGATTATTGGTGCAGCTTTAATGTGTTTTTGTTAAATATTTTACTAAGAGGGTTAATTTTAGGGAAATGTTTTTCAATTTAATTAAGGAAATGCTGGTCAAACCTAGTACTGACCAATTGGTTAAATGTGGTAGGATGTACCAAATGACCTTCTTATTTTTATTTCTTTAGATCACTATCATCATATTTTTTATACCTGATTTCCAGTCAGCTATGTGCCATGCGTGATACACGCTTAGGCGATCATGTATCTTTCGATTCATGACTGACGAGGTTCATTTTTTCCCCGCAGTAGGTTGCTATTTCTTTCTATGGTAGACCAGTTGCCATCCAAGGCTATAGAACCCAGTCTGTCCTGATATTTACCCATAGCTGGGGAGAGAGGATTCATAACTTTCCGAAGGTTATTAGCACGTAAGTGAATGTAGTGGATTCGACTGGAATTCGAACTCGATTCTCTGATTCCTCAACCTGAGCCGTTATCCATTGCTCCACCAATATCCTTTAAAACAGTATTATAAAGGCCGCCATATTTATCAAACATGTCTTTGTCAGATTAGTGGTTGCTAATTCTACGTTCTACAGACGATAGTATATGTAGGGTATATCAAGTACTTTTGAAGTGTACAGTATTTGTCCCCATCGTACCTTGATACACACACGCCCATACATCGTACCTTGATATATGCACACACACACACACACACACACACACACACACACACATATATATATATATATATATATATATTCAGGCGCTATTAAATAACTCTTATGAGATCTCTTCAAAGCTCCTCGTCTTTTGTTAAATCATGGGAGTACTGGACGTCGTACAAGCTGTTTTGCGGGAATGCGGGGAAATTTATTGATAAACTTTATTGATAAATCTAAATTTAATAAGCGAGCATCTCTCTATCCAACTTTCCATCTAGTGTACCCACTCTACGTAAGAATTATGTAGGCTTACTAATAGCAATATATAAATGTTCTTAATATCTATCTATCTATCTCGGCCTTTTTATATCTATCTATCTGTCTATCTATCTAGCTATCTATATATTCTATCTATCTTTCTAAGTCTCTTTCATATGTCTCACAGTCTTTTTTCTTTCTTTCTTTTGTTCACATCTATCTTAGTTTTCTTTCTTGCTTTCTTTATTTTTATCTGTTCATCTCTCTCTCTCTCTCTCTCTCTTGAACTTCTATCTATCTATCTATCTCAGTGTTTATATCTAACTAAGTCTTTGTTTCATATGTCTCACTTTTTCTTTCTTTTTTTCTTTCTTTCTTTCTTTCTTTCCATTTCTTCACATCTACCTCAGTTTTTCTTTCTTGCTTTCTTTATCTTTATCTGTTCATATATATCTCTCGAACTTCTATCTATCTATCTATCTATCTCAGCCTGTTTATATCTATCTATCTATCTCAGCCTCTTTATATCTATCTATCTATCTATCTATCTATCTATCTATCTCAGCCAGTTTATATCTATCTATCTATCTATCTATATATCTATCTCAGCCTGTTTATATCTATCTATCTATATATCTATCTCAGCCTGTTTATATCTATCTATCTATCTATCTATCTATCTATCTATCTATCTATCTCAGCCTGTTTATATCTATCTATCTATCTATCTATCTATCTATCTATCTATCTCAGCCAGTTTATATCTATCTATCTATCTATCTATCTATCTCAGTTTATATCTCTATCTCAGCCTGTTTATATCTATCTATCTATCTATCTATCTATCTATCTTATATCTATCTATCTATCTATCTATCTATCTATCTCAGCCTGTTTATATCTCTCTATCTATCTATCTATCTATCGCGCGCACACGCACACAAACATGCACTTCCTTTTCACACCTTCCTTCATATACGTTAGTCTGTTTCAATTTATAAACTTTTTACCCGTTTATCTGTTTGCGAACAGTCTCAACAAGTAAGCAAGATACATAAAAATAAAGATACGTAATTTTCCATCATCATTCTAGATTGAGGCTGTCATATTGACTTTACCGAAAATATATTTAAAAAAGATAAAAATGTAAACAAGTAACGTTGCTAATCGACTGTCTCCATACCATTTGCCTAAGCTATCTAACGCCGTCCCAACAACACTGTCTCCCATCTTCCATAATGACGCCACATATAGTTAAATAAATATTCCATTTTGCTCAAATTTACCCCACACCTCGACACCCAGCCTTATTCCAAAATGCGGTACGACATTTTTGATTGGTCGAAATTCTTTCAATTCAGTTTGACGTCATTAATAACTTTGACTTTGCCAAGTAGGCAAATGGAATTAATTAGTGTTTCCAATATGGAGGCTTTGGGATCGATTTCTTATTGACGCCCATCACCCGTCCAGGCAAATAATGGATTGCTTCCAGCTGAACTCTCTTGGGATTCTCCAGGCGATATCATAACAAGTCATTTCGAACGTATTACTTAGAATGGCTAGAGCTGAAATGGTTTTCATTCTTAGAAATTTCTAAATCTAGAAAATAGGCAAATATTTACATAGAATTACATGTTTATAGTGAACTAGCATATTTTATTTCAAAGTTTAGCACAGTATACTCTTAGAAATCTATAGGGGAGCATTCCACAAATCAGTGAAGCAGTGTAAGTTCAATCTCCAATCAAATTAGAACAGCTGTCGGTCGGCAAAATGGAGAAAGTAGAAAGGCACTTGAAAGTCTACTGATTATAAGGAAATCTCAATGAATAAAAATCATTACAGGTGGGAAGAATTTAATATAATCAACGTAAATATCAAAGAAACCTGGGGTATATTAGCCGAAATGCTGGGTCAAGCAAAATGACGAGGAAATGCGGCTGTCAAATTAGCTGTAGATATTAATGCCACAGCTTCACTACAGTGGATTTCATTACATGTATGTTTTGCTGTCTAGAGATGTCATCCCCACGTTAATTGTAGATTGATTGCTAACTAAACTAAATAGGCCAATCTGAGCTGATTATTATTATTATTATTATTATTATTATTTCCTTTGAAATCTGTCGTTTACACATTTCTTTCCGGTTGCCGCCCAGGGACCTAAGGTTAGAAATGGCGTCATGGCACTTTCCGCTGACAAAAAAAATGCATAGATAAAGCCCTTCGTAAAGTGGGGGTGTACTTGTGAGAACAATTTTTTTTTCCAGGAATCCCTTCAATTAGTCTACTGGAATCTTTCCAACCAATCTTAGTGTTCTAACTACAACAGGGATTGTTGATGTTCCCATATGCCACATTTTCGTGATTTCTATTTCAAGGTCCTTGTATTTTGATAGCTTTTTGAATATCTTCAAAGATACATAGCAGTCTGCAGGGACTGCCATATCAATAAGGAGGCACTATTTTTGTTTGTGGTCTTTAATAACAATGTCTGGACGGTTGGCTTTGATTGTTCTGTCAGTGTGTATTATGTAGTCCCATAGAATTGTAACAGGTCCTATATTCGTAACCGGGTCTGGGTGGTGTTCATACCAGTTTCTTTCAGTTTCCTTCCCGTAGAAGTTGTATATTTTCCAGTGCAGATATTGGCCCACTCTGTCATGCCTGGTGTTATACTCATGGGGTGCCAATATCGTACAACCTGATACAAGATGATCAATTGTTTCTGGATATTTATCACAGAATCCGCATTTTGGGCTAACACAATATTTTAGAATATGTGCTTGATAATCCCTAGTTAACAAGCATTGGTCCTGTGCAGCAAGGGCAAAACCTTCAGTTTCAGCTTTCAACCCTGCACCACATAGCCACTGATGGGTATGGGTTTTGTCTACGTCAGCTTGTTTGGTACGGGCAGAGTATTGGCCATGAAACGGTTTATCTTGCCATTGTTTCTGTATCTGGTCGGTTGCATTTGTCTTTGCTTTCTTTCTTAAGTATTTTGCAGCTACAGCCGGTGTATTGTGCTTTACTTGTATTTCTGCGCCCATTTGAAACTCCATTTTGAATATGTTGACTTCCTTTATTACGGAGTAAATACTATTACTACATTCATGTTCTTTGACACATACCATCATCCAGTCTTCTGTAGTTTCCAAGTATCTTTAGAGGCCAATTGTTGTAGTTTTGTAGGACAGTTCTAGTTGAACTAATCCTCTGCCTCTTTCGGATCTGGGCACATACAGACGATCAACATCAGCCTTGGGATGATGCATTCGATAGCAAGTGAGAAGCTTTCCCGTTTTGGCGTCCATTCGCTTAATTTCAGCTATGGTCCAGTTAAGGACATAAAAGCTGTATTGCACCACAGGGACAGCCAATGTGATTATGGCTGATATTCTGGGTTTTTTAGTTTTGCACTGTATTAATAAGAAGCGTACACGCCTGTAGTACTCCTTTCTTACCTTCTCCTTCCTTTAGGGATGTTGATTGCAAGCTCCTTCGCTATAGACTTAATCATGCTCCAGTTCCCTAATCTTTATGACTGAATCTAAATCTATTAAGGGTGTTTCTGTAATTCTACCTTTCTTGAATATTACTTTTACACATATATCTAATCCGAAGTCCATACCTATGTCGTCATTGAAGTATTTTACAATATTGAAGAGGCCCTTCAACTCACTGTCGTCTTTGCCAAAGAGTTTGAGACCCTCCATGTAGAGTAGGTGATTGAATATTTTCTTATTTATTTTGAAACCAGTTACAGTTGTTCAGGTGATTAAGGACAAACAAAACAGAAAGGGTCATGGAGAGTCTCCTTGAAAGAGTAGATGTCGTATATTTAGACGGTTGGATATGGCATTGCCCCCGGTGTGACTAAGGTATAGTTTGGTGTTCCATATTCCTATGCTGTGCTTAAGGAAATTTAATACCATGGGGGGGGGACTTTGTACATTTCCAAAGTCTTAAGGATCCAAGAATGTGGAACACTATCAAAGGCTTTACGATAATCAATAAACGCTACCTTAAGATTTCTACGTCGTCTGCAATTTTCTAGCATCATATTATTTATCAGTAGTTGATCTTTGCAGCCATATGAACATCTCCTGAATCCTTTCTGTTTCAGGGAAAGAATGCTGTTTGTTTCGAGAAAGGAATAAATACGGTTCGTCAGTACAGACATGATCAACTTATACGTTGTGGAGAGACATGTTATCGGTCTATAATTTTTTTGGGGCGTCTGTTTCACTTGTTTTTGGCGTGAGGTATGTAATACCCCCAGTAATCCATTCCGTGGTGTTATTGGGATTATTTACAGGCGTTGATCATGTTTTTGCAAGGATATTATAGATAGATGAGAGATGATAAAGCCAGAAATTGGGCACCTTGTCATTTCCTGGGGATTTGCATTTTGGGGATTTCGTTACAGCTTGCCTATCATCATCTGTAGAGGTATTTTCACTTTCTTGCAGAGGTGTATCCAGCATTCGTTATTCTTCACGTCAGATCCATTCTGCATTTGGGTTATATTCCTTTGGGCTGCTCCAAATATTTTCCCAAAATGTCTGTAGATTATCAATCGAGGTGGCCTTTTGACATGTATAGGTGTTTTTTTTTTTTTTAATATTTTATTTTGGCGATAGAACCTACAACGTTTTTCGTATCGTCTTGTTCTCTGTGCCTTTAGCTGAAGTTTCTGCTTCAGCATTTCCTTGATTGATGGAATATCAATTAGGGATTTAATGTTATAATTCCGCTTGATCTTTTTGCATTTACGTGTGGAAATATTAGGGTTTCTGGTGAGCTCATCTAATATAGAAAGCTCACATCTGATTCGTTTTATTTCTCGTATCAGTTTGGTTTTCCAAGCTGGTTCCCTGTGTCTGTTAATTTTATTTATTGTCTTGACCCCAAGCTTCCGAGTCGCTGCTAAAACTGTTGCGTATATGACGTTGTTAACTTCTGTGATGTTTCCCGGTGGTTTATCTGTTAAGAGTGTTTCCAAAGCAGCGTTGTATATTTTCACAATGTACTTGTTGGAATTCGTCATAAGGATTTTAGGGAGCTGGTCTCTGTCTGACAATTGTATGAAAGTTACTCTGCTGAGTACTTGGATGACGTGTTTTTTCGCTTCGGTGATTTCAGCTTCGTGGTTTTCAAGGAATTCTAACTTATTATCACTGAAGAGGATTCCAGGTACATTTTCTGGAGAACTGCAGGTTCCGTTTAGGGTAGAGTCTTTGATTTTATTTCCTGGAAGGTTATTTCGTATTTCATTTGTTTTAGTTTTTACCTCATCCTCTGTCAGATTAATTATTTCTACTTTCATCTCATTACAGTTTGAGTGATGGGTCATAGTATTTTGTCTTATATCTAATTTTATTCTATCTATTTCTGTCTTTGAGAGTCTGTTGTTTCCCATAATGTCCCTAAGGACATTGGCAAGCATGTTTGGATTGAGGTTAGGTGTTATATCATTTCCAACTATAGTTCTCCATATTTGGTATGTTTGATTGCTGGTGTTCTTTACTGGGTTTTCGAGTGAATTGAAGAATTATGACATGACTTGTCGATACTCTTCGCGTGACCATTTCGTTCGTTTTCTTTTTATTAGTCGATTTGGTATTGAGTCACTTGGTCCAAGGTTGGCAATAATCCGGGTTTGGAGACCTAGTGTCTCTTCGTTTGTGGAAGAGTTTGTCTTAGTGACATATTTTTCGTCCTCAGACTGGTTCCTCTCTGAGGGACGCGGCCCTTGTTGACCCGGGTGACGGCCGATCCGGTATAAAATTTTATTCGTATTCATTGAAATTGGTAGATATTTGCGTTATAACCATGACCGCTCAGGAGTAATTATGTTCAAGTTACCAGCTTTAGGACAATTCTTGAACAAGATCCAAGAGGAGGCCCAACCAATGAGATTGGTACGAATCTGGATTTATGAATATATCGAAGGTGGAATAGTTCATAATA